CAGGTCAGGTCAGGTCAGGTCAGGTCAGGTCAGGTCAGGTCAGGTCAGGTCAGGTCAGGTCAGGTCAGGTCAGGTCATGGATCTGTTTTCTTGTCATTGTGTAGTACCTTGGCTCTTTATGAGGTAAGATCAAGCCACAGTAGTCTCTTGGTCTATCCAAGGCCATAATCAAGTGTCTTGATGGTTTTGGTCTTTTAGCCTTAAGATAAAAACCTTGTCTGTGTCTCTGGGACCTTGAAGTAAAAATATTATCTAAGTCATATCTGTTCTTATCAGTTTAATAGAGCTAATTTTAACTCCATTAAGCAGACTGTTACATGCTGTAGAGCTGAGATGACTGATAGGTAGGTCTGAGCATCACACCAGCCTTGTGCTAGGTGTTCTGAGTGTGCCATACTGCCCCCCCCCACCCAACAGCTGAAATCACTGAGAGCTGTGTTAAGGGGGGAGGGGCGGCTGAAGTGGTTGAATATTGGTGAGTGGCCAGTCGGGTGGCTAGTGGAGAAGAGTGGGTAGCAGGGTGGCTGGTGGAGAGGTGTGGCTGGTGGTGAAGACTGCAGCAGAACCCCATGGAGAGGTGTGGCACTAGGCCATGGACCTGAGCAGCGGAGCATGTAAGATGCCCCCCATACCTCCCCCACTTCCACCCAGGCTGGGAGGTAAACTCTGCAGATGAACTTCTGAACTCTGGGGGCTGCACTGACCAAGGTCAGAAACTGTGGGTGGGGGTGACTTTTGGGTTGCTGGACTTAAGACCCAGATGGGGAAAGGACACTGCCAAACTTACTTGGGGGTAGGTCTTTGCTCATGGTCTCTGTTATGAATCCTGTTTGTGGTGTTACCCCAACATAATGCCGCATTGTTTCCCTCCTTTATTAAAAGGCTTTTGCTACACTCAGACTCCGTGCTTGCCAGAGGGGAAGTATTGCCTCTTAGAGGCGCCCGGGGGGTGGTGTGTAGGTCACTGGGTGGGGACTCGAGACACTTTTGCCTTGTTTTACTGAAAAAGCAGCCCTAGATACGGTGCTTGTTGCTGCCAACTCTGATGGGCAGAAGGGTTACACTACCTTTTGCAAGCAGTACGTTGCAACTGAAAGGTGTGGAAGTGAATTGAGTAAGTTAGCTCAGAATGAATCCTTGCCTGTAGCAAGCGACAGTGTAGGTGCTGAGAAATTTGATTCAGTTTCTAGCTGCCAAAGTTTCTCAACTGTGTATGAATCCACTGACTGTGTTTTGAAAAGCTCCAGGGTGGAAGCCATCCCTACTAAAACCAACACTGCCTCTGTCACTGCTACGCAGCTCTTTACACGCACCTGGGATGGCCACTGCTCTATTGTGAATCGGGCCAGCCCCAGCGTGTATCAGGTAGAAATCCTGAATGGGAGAAATGGAAAACCCTGGCGGAAATGGTTTCATTCCTCACAGCTCAAAAAGTGGAAGGATAAACCACCTGACCCTCAAGACTGTCTTCTCCATCCTGTTGGCCACCCTTCTTGGCCAGCAAGAAGGAACGGCTTGGGGCCATTGGAAGATACGCATCGAGTGGGCTGGTCCGTGCCTACCCCGATGTTGAGACAGGAAAAGTCCAGAAAAGTCCTTGACTTATTATGGCCACCCTCACTAGGTCACTGCTTCATGTTCACCCTGCAATATTAGTCCCAGCCTCTCCCAGTATATACGGGGGGAGTGTGGGAGTTTGTTCTCTCTTCTCTGTTCTCGCAGGTCCCGAACTCGAGCCATGATATCCCACCGGTGCACCAGCCCCCTGCTGTTCATAAGTGTCTGGAGTTTGATGCGGTCCAAGCTCTATGCTGAACCTGTGATCCCGCTGAGCCTCGGGAGGTGCCTGCCAGCTGGAGCCCAGGAAGTCAAATTGCTTTGCCACATGCATGGATTCTATGGGAATGGGAGCAGCCCCCTGGCCCGGCAGTGTCGCTACCAGTTCTACGCTGTCGGCAACTCCTCGGGTTGCCCCTGGGAAAGCGTTGGCAATTGCACGCCCAGTGCCACCAGGGTGTCACTCAAGTTGTGTTATGAAACTTAGCCCACCCCAGACTCCGTCCCATTCTTCTGGAAGCCGTTGTGGTCTCGAACAGGACGTACACCCTCAAACACACCCAGTGACAGCCTCCTGGGTGGCTGGGTAGCCCTGATTTCCTCTGCTGTTTGGGGAACCACCAGGCCCCTACGTGTAACTCAGACACCTCTGTTACCTGGAGTTGAACTGCGGCTGTCTCTGATCGCGCCAGCAGGCAAGAATATCACACGGTTCCTTCGCTGAACTGGACTTTAGCTGGACTTGACCTGACTCAGCAAGGTCCCCCAGACTGGGTAATTCCGTGAATGGTCACACATGGTGACAAGCGCAGGCCAACAACTTGGTTTAAATTCTAGGGGCACATTGCCGTTTTGGAGGGATTTCATGAGCCCGGATTGTACAGAGTGGAATTGGACCAACAACAAGAAACAGTTTTAAATTTCAACCCTCTGATCACAAACCTTGCTCCCCTTGAAAGTGCTGATTGACCCGGTCCACTCAGACTTGTGTGTGTGTGTGTGTGTGTGTGTGTGTTTTCGTTTTCGTGTTTTCATCTGGGGAACCGAGGCCCCGCAGGGTAGCTCCATTGGGTGGGGACTTGCAGCAGGGAGAAGTAGAGCTCCGAATGAGAACACAAGTGACACAAGCAGCACATTGACAGAAGAACAGAACCTCCCTCCTCCCCCGAGAAGAGTATCCCTAATAAATGAGCGTGCCCCAAAGTAACAGGCAAATCTGGTAACAGAGGGGCTGCGGGTCGGGAGTGGGGGCACCGGCAAAGCTGGGGAAAGAATGAGAGGTCGAGGAAGAGGGGGGCTAGTTAGTAAAATGCCCCTCCCCCAAGCCCTTGGCTCCTGGCCCAAAACCGCTTCCTCTTTCACCAGCTTATCAGAACCGGCCACCGTCAGTGACTTGGAAACACCCTCCACCCCCACTCTAACTATTAGCGCCCCAATCCCCTCTTAGAGCCAGGAGAGAACCCAGGAGTCCTGGTCCCCAGCTCCGCCCCGCTCTAACCACTAGTCCCCACTGCCCCGCTCTGCTCAGTCATTTCCCCACCCTCTTTCCCACCAGCACCTCCCCATGCAGCGATCTGGGACCCACTGAAAGGAGCAAACCGTGGAGCCCCCGAGTCCAGGTGCTGGCCGCCCCCCGGAGCCGCGGAGCAGGAGGATGTGGGTGCCAGGAGCCAGCCAGATGCCTCCTTCCACCAAGCTCTGCATTGAAATCATCCTCGCACTGCTCTGCCAGGGTAAGAGAACAACAGCAGAGACAGCTGGGCTGGCAGGAATCCCCCGAGCTGGGGATAGAACCCAGGAGTCCTGGCTCTGAGCCCCCCAACCCACTCGACCCCACTTCCCTCCCAGAGCGGGGATAGAACCCAGGAGTCCTGGGTCCCAGATGCCTCCTGCTCTAAGAGTTGATACTGGTCAAAAAATTATGGTTTGGGGAAATAAAGGGGCTCTAGCAGATTGCGGGCAGGGGCGGGGGTGGAGCCCAGCACTGGGCTAGCAGGGGGCTGCGGGTCAGGAGTGAGGGGCACCGGCAGAGCTGTTGGGAGAATGTGATTTCAAAGCAGCATTTTCCCCAGGAATTGAAATGGGGGGGGGTCGTTTGAAGTCACAGGGGATGAGGGGTGAGCCCGTGAGGGCGAGGGGAGGCTCTATGGCACCATGGTAACAGCTGAGAAATATGTCACAACCATTTTATTAGCTCTAATTCATGCTGTAAAACCGTCACCCACATTAGAGCTGGCTACTCAAGCCTTCTATGAAGCACGACAGCTCCAGCCTTCTTGGCTTCTTGCTGTAAATTTGGACTTGTCGAATGCCGTCAGTTCCCCTTTGGTGGCTTCTCTTGTGCCCGGTTCTGCCAGGCCTTCACGGCAGGCTCCTTCCTTCCTGCTCCTGACCAGGCAGAAGGCGACTCCTCCCAGAACACGGCGTTCTGTTCGGTGAGGAAAGAGATGCTCGACCCAAGCTGTTGTGACTGGGAGCAGCAGGAGATGAATTCCTACTTCTGCCAGCCCAGGGAACAGCACAAAGTTCAGGTCGCGCCACGAGTGATGATGAAGAAGAAGCTGAAGTCAAATCTTCATTCATTCGTCGTATGACATTCCACTCTGGGTACAAATCCTCTCTTCTGTCCTGATCACATGGCAGCCCCATTGCTGGGAGTGCCTCACACCACTAAATTGTCGGTGTTTTACGAGAAGGCATCTGTAAGAGCTATACAGAGGTTGATAGAATCCAGAAGTTGCTGTTGTAGATTTGTAAGAGACAACTCTGTAGTACTTTTTCAGCTGGCTTGACAGACACTTCTTGTCCTCTTCACTTAAGGAGTCAATATAAATGCCTTCATTAGTCAACTTCCGGACTGAAGTCTTTGCTTCTTGCAGTGGATAGGTCTCTGATTGATCCAAGTGTAGCTTCTATTGCTGGACAAAAATCTACGACTGTTGAAGCAGATGTTTGAATGGCGTTGTCTGATAACCCAAGTGATTTCATCAGTAGAGTTACAAGAGAGAGAACAGCCATTGTCTTCTCTGAACGTTGTAGCAAAAGTAATCCACCAGCCTCACTCCTTAGATTCGTCCCACTCGGTAGAGACTTGCCAAAGCCAGTAATAACGGTTGCAGTCATTTTAAGACCACAGCCAAGGATCGCTCATTGAAAGCCGGCAGGTTTTCCCAGGTTGGACTAATTTGAACTTCAGTCCTGGAGTATCTTCTTATGTTCTCCAAGACGTTCAGGCTTTTCAGACTCTTGCTGAGAAAAAGAGTATAATGAAGACCTTGAATTTTTAAATGTCTTTTCAAGATTCTGCAGCTCGTACTAGTTCTAGTTGAATAGATGACAGCATTGTAGGGCTGGAAGGGACCTCGAGAGGTCATCTAGTCCAGTCCCCTGCACTCTTGGCAGGACTAAGTATTATCTAGACCTTCCCTGACAGGTGTTTGTCCAACCTGCTCTTAAAAATCCCCCATGATAGAGATTCCACAACCTCCCTAGGCAATTTATTCCAGTACTTAACCACCCTGGCAGTTAGGAAGTTTTTCCAAATGTCCAACCTAAACCTCCCTTGCTGCAATTTAAGCCCATTGCTTCTTGTCGTATCCTCAGAGGTTAACGAGAACAATTTACCTCTCTCCTCCTTGTAACAACCTTTTATGTACTTGAGAACTGTTCTCATGTCCCCTCTCAGGCTTCTCTTCTCCAGACAAAACACACTCAATTTTTTCTGGACTTTCTCCAATTTGTCCACATTCTTCGTTGGCACCTAGAACTGGACACAATACTCCAGTTGAGGCCTAATCAGCGCGGAAGAATTACTTTGTGTGTCTTGCTTACAACACTGCTGCTAATACAGCCCAGACTGATGTTTGCTTTTTTGCAGAAGTGTTACAGTTGACGTATATTTAGTGTGTGATCCACTAGGTCGCCCAGATCCCTTTCCGCAGGACTCCTTCCTAGGAAGGCATTTCCCATTTTTATGTGTGCAACTGATTGTTCCTTTCTAAATGGAGCACTTTGCATTTGTCCTTATTGAATGTCGTTCTATTTACTTCAGACCATTTCTCCAGTTTGTCCAGATCATTTTGAATTTTAATCCTAGCCTCCAAAGCACTTGCAACCCCTCCCAGCTGGGTATCGCCTGCAAACTTTATAAGTGTACTCTCTATGCCAGGGGTGGGCAAACTACGGCCTGCGGAACACATCCGGCCCGCGGGACCATCCTGCCCGGCCCCCAAGCTCCTGGCCTGGGAGGCTCTCCCCGGTCCCTCCCCCGCTGTCCCCCCTCCCCCGCAGCCTCAGCTCGCTCGCTCCGCCACCGGCGCAAGGCTCTGGGTGGTGGGGCTGGGAGCTCCTGGAGCAGCGCAGCTGCAGATCCCGGCCTGACCCGGTCTCTGTGCTGTGTGGTGGCGGCGGCGGTGGCGGCAGCGTGGCCCGGCCCCAGCTGGGCGGCGTGGCTGTAGCGCCGCCAGCCACCGGTGATCCAGGCAGTGCGGTCAGGGGGCAGGGAGCAGGTGGGGGGTTGGATAGAGGGCAGGGGAGTTCGGGGTAGTGGTCGGGGGCGGGGGTGTGGATGGTGGTTGGGGGGGAAACAGGGGGTTGAATGGGGGCAGGGTTCCTGGGGGGGGCAGTCAGGAAGGAGAGGGGGTTGGATGGGGCAGCAGGGGGCAGTCAGGGGCAGGGGTTCCAGGGGCAGTCAGGGGACAGGGAGCGGGGGTGTGTGGATGGGGCAGGGGTCCCAGAGGGGCCGTCAGGGAATGGGTGGTTGGATGGGGGAGGAGTCCCGGGGGCGGGGGCAGATAGGAGGTCGGGGCCGGGCCACGACCCCCTCCCCTAACCTGCCCTCCATACAATTTACAAAACCCGATGCGGCCCTCAGGCCAAAAAGTTTGCCCGCCCCTGCTCTATTCCATGATCAATATAATTGATGAAGATATTGAACAGAACCGGACCCAGAACTGATCCCTGCGGAACCCCACTCGTGATGTCCTTCCAGCATGACTGTGAACCACTGATAACTACTCTCTGGGAATGGTTTCCAACCAGTTATGCACCTACGTAGGTTGTATTTCCCTAGTTTGTTTATGAGACGGTCATGCGAGACAGTATCAAAAGCCATATTAAAGTCAAGATATACCATATCTACCACTTCCCTCCTATCCACAAGGCTTGTCACCCTGTCAAAGAAAGCTATCAGGCTGGTGTGACAAGATTTGTACTTGACAAATCCATGATGGCTGTTTCATATTTCCCTATTGTCTTCTAGGTGTTTGCAAATTGATTGCTTAATAATTTGCTCCATTATCTGTCCGGATCCTGAAGTTAAAACGGCCTCTGCAGTGTGTATAGGAGAGATTAGGGTTACACTTTTCTCTGAGCAAAGCTTGTACTCCACTATGTCTTCCAGAGAAGTTTGCAGTGGTTTAGGGAATTAAAGGGGCTCTGGCAGAGTTGTGGGGTGGGGGAACCCAGGGCTGGTCTGGCAGGGAGCTGCGGGTCGGGAGTGAGGGGCACCAGCAGAGCTGTGGGGACAATGAGATGTCCAGGAAGAGGGGGGCTGGTTAGTATAATGCCCCTCCCCCAAAACCTTGACTCCGGCCCGAACCTGCTTCCTCTTTCACCAATTAATAAAGGCAAATATTGACCCAGCTGAGAAATCGAGTCTCCTTATCAGAGCTGGCCACCATCAGTGACTTGGAAACACCCCCACCCCCACTCTAACCACTAGACCCCACTCCCCTCTTAGAGCCAGGAGAGAACCCAGGAGTCCTGGCGCCCATCCACCGCTCTAACCACTAGACCCCACTCTCTACTCCCTTGTTGGTGTCTTTTTATTCTCTCTCCCCAGGTAAGGACTGAGGGGCACCGGCAGAGCTCTGTGTGGGGGTGGGGGTGGATCAGGGGGCTGCAGGTCGGGACTGAGGGGCACCGGCAGAGCTCTGTGTGGGGGCGGGGGGTGGATCGGGGGGGCTGCGGGTCAGGACTGAGGGGCACTGGCAGAGCTGGTCTGTTTCCCTGCAGGTCGGCTCTGCCAGGCGCCCGTCTATCGGATCCAGGTCCCGTCCAACGTCACGGCCCAGCAGGGTCTCTGCGTCCTGCTCCCTTGTAATTTCACAGCCAACTTCAACTCCTCCGGGGTCGCCTACAAATACTGGTTCCTCAGGGACGACGACAGGGACACCAGCCTGGCTGTGGCCACCACAGATCCTGACAAGGCCCTGCGGGAGCCTGGGGGCCGGATCCGCCTGGTGGGGGATGCCCCAGACGACTGCTCCCTGCGCATCAGCGACGTGAGAGCCGGAGACAGGGACCGCTACTACTTCCGCTTTGTGAAGGGAGACTTCAAATACAGCTACGTGGTGACCCAGCCGCTGGTGGACGTGACAGGTGAGGCTGGGGGGCCCTGGAGAGCTCAGCAGTATTAACTCTGCTTATACCCAGTGGCAGGGAGTCCCGTGGGTTAGCTCCACTAATAACCAGTGGGGGGAGTTCTGGAGATTAACAACATCCAGTGGCAGGGAGTCCCACTGGTTAAGCCCACTAATACCCAGGGGCAGGGAGTTCCGGGGATTAACCCCAGTAATTCCTCACTGAGTTGAATTTTAATGGTGTCGCCTGCTTAGAGCTGAAGGAGAAGCCGGTGCTGGAGGTCCCCGAGGTGCTGCTCTCTGGACAGCTGGTGAATGTGACCTGCCAGGCTCCATGGACCTGCTCTGGGACCCCTCCCCAAATCACCTGGACAGGGGGGTTCAACTACACAGCCAGGAACGTCTCGGTCACCCTGGCGAACGGCAGCGTCTCCTACAGCTCTGAGCTCAGCTTCACGCCAGCCCCGGGGGATGACGGCAAAGAGCTCGTCTGCACCGTCACGTACCCCGCCGTGGTTGGGGTCTGCACCCGCAGAGCTGTCCGGCTCCACATCCGCTGTGAGTGACCTCATCCAGCTCTGGCGGGGGAGTGGGGTCTAGTGGTTAAAGGGAGCCGGAGGTTGGCAGCCCGGACTCCTGCGTTCTATCCCTGGTTCTGGGAGGGCCGTGGGGTCTAGTGGCAGGGGGGAGGGCTGAGAGCCAGGACTCCTGGGTTCTATCCCTGGCTCTGGGAGGGGCGTGGGCTGAGAGCCAGGACTCCTGGGGTCTATAGGAGGGCACTGGGATCCCAGGAGGGAAATCCCACCACACATCCCATGTCCCGTTGCAGACCCACCGGAGCTGCTGCCATGGGGGAACTGCACGGTGCGGGGCCACGGGCCCGGGGGAGCGGCCACGTGTCACTGCGCGGCCGAGGGGAACCCCCTGCCCCGCCTCAAGTGGCGCTTGCCCAACCGCACCCTCCCCGGGGACTTCGAGGGCCCTGAGCTGTGGGCCGGCCCTCGGCCGCTCTCCCGCTCAGGGGACCGTCCCCCTACGCCGTACCCATCAGTTCATTACAAGCCCTGTAGGGCCCATTGCTGCCCAGCCGATCCCACCTCTCACACCAGCTGTTGGTTTGCAGCGGACTTCTCCCTGACACTCGTGGTGCCCTTGGCGGTTGCTGGGAGCCTCGTGCTGATTGGTGCCGGGGCTGCAGTGGCCTGGAAAGTCGTGAAGGGAAGGTGAGACTCGGGCGGGACGGGAGAAGGATCTCGTGGCAACTGTAGCCTGGAATGGGGGGAAAAATGGATCCCCCAAGATCAACTATCACTTCTTGGAAGCGTGAAATTCCACCTGCTGCCCCTCAATTTCGACCCACAGCCCCCTGGTGTGCCATCCCTGGGCTCGCCCCCCCATCTCTGCCGGTGCCCCTCACTCCCGACCCACAGCCCCCTTGTAGCCCAGTCCTGGGCTCCCCCCACATGCAGCTCTGCTGCTCTGGGATGGCGGTCGGGGCGGGGGGGAGATATTGGGATAGATGGACCCCTGGGTCTGATCAAGGGAGGTGGTAGGACACTAGGCTAGATGGGCCTAGAGGCCGGATATTGATGATGGTTTCACCACAGGCAGGGCAGCAGGGGCCCCGCCAGGGCCGGACGATGCCAAGGGACTGGAGACGGGCAGGTCTGTCACTCCTCCGAGCAGCAAGCGTCTACGGTGCCCTCCTACAGACAGGTGGGTTCCCGGCCCTTCAGCGGCTTATCCCAGACCCTGCACCCGCCAACCCCCTCCCTGCCCCATCCCCCACCCTGCTGGGATCCCTCCCTGAACTCCACAAGGGCTCTGGGACCCCCTCCCCCACTCCCAGAATCCCCCTCTGCTGGGATTTTCCCCCTCCAGCATCCCCCGCTGGTGTCCTCTCCCATCCTTTCCCCTGGGCATGGCAGCCACTCTTCCCCGCTAACCCGGTCTCTCCCCGCACAGAACACAACCAGGGAAGGGGGAGCCCTTGAGAAGAAAGGGAGAGGAGGAGGAGGAGGAAGATGCTACAGGGAGAGAGGCGACGGGGAACAATTCACAGAGGAAAACATCTACGCCAATATCTAAGCCCAGAGAGGGGGACAGGGTCATTGCAGGGAGTGAGCTAAATAGAGACTGGTGTTAGTGATGGGATAGCCAGTCTGCCTTGTGGCTAAGGTGCTAGCCTGGGACACCGGACGCCTGGGTCCTATTCTCAGCTCTGCTACGGAATGCCTGTGTGACCCTGGGCAAGTCCCCGCCCCCCGTGCCTCAGTTTCTCAGCTGTAACATAGGGAGTATATCACTGCATTTGGCTACTTACACTGTGAGCTTGTTGGAGATGGTCTCTCGCTGTGTGTGGGCAGCGCCTGGCACAACGGGGCCCTGATCTCAGCTGGGGCAGGGACTGTCCTTGGCGGTGTCTGGGCTGCGCTCCTCTCCCCCCATCTCAGCCTGGGGCCACTCTGCTAATGCACCTGAGAGGCAGCTACTGCTCCAGACAGAGTTATGCCGAGCAGGTCGGCCTGTATTAACCCTTTCACTGCTGCAGCTAAATAAAAGCCATTCCCAGCTCCTCCCCGGGCTGAAGAGTTTTATGTTGCCTCGGTTTCCCTCAGGGGTTCCCCTCGCTCTTCGAGCTGCTCAGCTGTGGCTGGACACTCACCACCAGGCCCGAGGGGTAACAAAGCACTGGGAAGAGGGTCATGAGAAACAATGCCTGGTGCTGTGATGCAGCCACCTCTGGGGTGGGACAGCTGGGGAACAACCGCAGAGCAATGCCATGTGGCCTGCCCGGCTCTGAGATGCAGCCACCTCTGAAGTATCATGGTTAGAAGGGGAGTGGGGGGGAAGCCAGAACTCCTGGGTTCTGTCCCTGGTTCTGGGAGGGGAGTGGGGGCTAGTGGGTTAGAGCAGGGGGGGGGCTGGGAGCCAGGACTCCTGGGTTCTCTCCCTGGTTCTGGGAGGGGAGTGGGGTATAGTGGGTTAGAGCCGGGGGGTGGGAGCTGGGAACCAGGACTCCTGGGTCCAATTCAGTAACTACGACGACAGGCTCATGACTTTAAAAAGCACATTTAATGTCCAATAACAAAAAGACACCGAAGCAAATGGAGCAATAAATAAAGCAGGTCCGGGGCAGGGTGGGGCAGAGGTGAGAGGCAGCAGTGCCGGGGGCAGCGGGGGGAGCCGGGCTGGGCGTGGCTGGAGGTGACGGCGCCCCCGAGCGCTGCTGTGGTCCGGCCGCGGCCAGCCGGCTGGCTCAGGTGCGGCAGCAGAAGCCGCAGCCCTGGTTGCGGCAGCAGTTGCAGCAGTAGGTGCAGATGGGGAAGTGGCTGTTGTGGCGCTTGGATCTCCGGAGCAGAGCCTGCGGGGGGAGAACAGGGTCAGGACTCCTGGGTTCAATCTCCGGCGGGGGGGGGGGGCGGTCTAGGGATTAGCGCAGGGGGGCTGGGAGCCAGGACTCTTGGGTTTCTAGCCCCAGGCCTGCCACAAGGCAAGTGCATTGGCTCATTAATAGCCCTAGTGTCTGGCATTTAGTTAGCCCAGAACCGTCCTGGAGGGCTGTAGGCTCAGGGACTGCGCGCCTGGTACTGTAGCCTTCGGGCCCAGTCCTGACTGCCAAGGGAGAGCCCCCACCCTGC